TATCATGAATGCTATTCTCTGATTGGCTACGCTACTCACTATCGTGGTGTCTGTGAAGAGGATTTAGATAAAGATAAATCCCCCACTACTTTTTGAGCAACAAAAACCCTATCTTCATGGATCAAGTGTACCAAAGAGATCCGTGGTCAAGTGTCAATTGATACCCTCGACACCGAACTATCAACCGGCTGTTGATCAAGTGTCGACAGAGTGTTGGCCGATGTCAGTGGAGATGTCAATCAATGATATTGATGGATAGTATCAATCAATACTCGAACGTGGAACTGGATGCCTTTAGTACACATAATCCATCTTCATAAGGCCCACCTCCCTTCCTCTATCATACTACAGAGGTTTCACTTTTACAACTGATCAAAACTTTACTGGAATTAGTACCTGAAAATGAAGCATGTCCTGACGGGAATGACAATCTTCCCTCTCTCAAAAGACTAGGATCACCTGTACAGACATCATCCAAGATGTACGTATGACTACAGTTCATGAACACGAAAGATGGGGCTTTGCAGATTGAGAGAAAGTGAGGCCTTAGCCTTCCCACAGTGTATTTTCCAATATCAGTGACAAAAATCGTGGTGAGGCCTCCAAAAGCAAAGGAAACGAACAAGCTACACAGCCGAACAAGCAGAGAATTCAGCTGCAACGGACCAATCTTGAAGGGCACACCCTCGCAACGTTTTCCAGATCTCTTGTCATTTCGCTCGTTGCACCATTCAGTGACTGAAATGACCAGATAAGCCAACGCGAAGCCAACGGAATACAACACCGACGATGGCACAGTACTGTCTTTATAAGGCTTGTTAATGCTGTCATCGTCACAGTAAAACCCTCGGCGAAATGGAACAGCGACCAGCTTAAATAAGAGGCAAGCCAAACCAACTGCAAGCAAACAGGCAAAGTCAACACCGAGCCAAGTAAACTGGGGTTGCCTTTGTTTAAGTGGTTTTATTTCAGGCATTGTGCACTCAAGTTCTAGTGAGTGGCTATGGTCTTGAGAAGAACGTCTCTCGTTTTCCATGTCACCAGAAATTTAGCTATAAAATTCTGATAAAACTACTAAACTTTTGAAAACTCCTTCAATATTTGTGTGTACATAATTTTTGCGTGGTTACCAAGGTCCTAAGTGACCAGACTTTGCCCGGTTACCCAGTCAAAAGGCCCTCAGTTTCAGAAAGTCCAGGATTTGAACTGTTTTGCGGACGAAAAATGCCTCATCGTCCTAAATTTGACGAACCATGGATGGATGAACTCGACGGTCATGACTGTGTTCAAAAATCTGTCACTCTTGGCGTTAAAGCGGCGATGGTTGGTAAGTACTGTGTTCTGGATGTCTTGTACTGTGTGCATCGAAGGTTGTACAAAAATCCAAGTATTCTTGTACTGTTGTAGAATTTGCTTTTGGCGAGTTAACGATGCACTTCAATAAACTCAGTGTTTAAACTTGCTCATTTACTTTGTGGCGCTAAATGATAAAATTCAACTGTAATGTTTATTTTCTCCAGCTCGCCAAATCATGTTAAAATATTCGCCTGCCAAGCTAAGCTTAAGCTAAGGTTTATAAGTTTTGATAACTATATTGAAACTGCCATATGTAAACTTAGTTGATATCAGAATCAGAGAATATTAAGGTTGAACAAATGAAGCAATCGATTCTCCATATACAGTTGTGTTGAACCACATTTTGTATGTTGGTCATCAATTTCCAATTGGCATCAATGGGTTTGATCATTATAAAATTTGCCAAGACATAATCAGAAAGATAACTGTTGTCTTGTAACCTGTGTCACAGCTGCCCCCCTCCCCTAAAGAAAATCAGAACGAGTATCTCTGCAGGGGCAGATCTAGGGACGAAGGAATGTGATCTTTGCATGAGATAGTTGATGACCTTTGAGACTTCACAGATTAAAAACAGACTATTCTCAGAATAATCGCGTCACCTCCATGAATCTGGCTTTTTTAACTTCAAATTTTTAAATCTAAATCTCACTCACAATTAAAGTGAAACAGGTTTCCATTCTGGTCTTAATGACCAATTCTCAAGATCAAGATATTTATCAGACTGAGTATGACCAATAAAATAAAATAAAATTCAAAGTGCTTAGGCTAACAGTTTACAAACAGTTAAAAGTATTTATTCATACTACCTGAAAAAGAACAGTAAAGGAATTTTTTTCTCATAAACAGCTGAATCGCTTCAATGTGAACCTCTGAAAAAGTTCATGAATTCATGGTGTTTTGAGGTAGAACATGTACATGTAGATAACTTGGAATTTCCAACCTTTTCCATTTAAAAATCAACTCACAGCAATATTTTTTTATAATTTGATGTACACGATTTTTTTTGACTACAGAAGAGGTAATTGAGCATTAGTGATGAAACTCATTTTACTGTGATTTTGAATTTCAGGAGTTTTTACCGGTGCTGCTTATTCTGCCTTGAAAATCCCTGATCCTGAGCCAACACCACTTATCCTGCAGTCCTTTATTAAGATGAAGAACCACTCTCTCTTTCTTGGTATGCTGACATACACTGTACATGTTCTTGTAATGTTAGTAATGATAATTTTTCACTCAGCACCCTACCCAGGCTATCCCATTCATAAGGCGTAAGATTTTCTTGCAAGTCGTTTTTGCATATCATGCATTCATTATCCCAGAGTGCTTTTCAATTTACAATTTATTGAGTGTCATAAACCAAAACCAAATCAATTAGACTATACAGCCAATCTCAAACCGTAAGGTTAAGTCTGCTTACAAGCCAAGTGGCTCATCAGGCCGGAGCCTATCCCAGTTTCTGTAGCATGAAGCAACTAGGAGTATTTCTACTCCCTCCTGGGTGGGATGCTAGACTATTGCAGGGTTACCCCCAGCATTAAATTTGTCAGTACCCATATATACACCTGGGTGTCTTGCCTAAGAACATGTACATAATGTCCCTTGTCAGGGCTCAAACCCGAACCGCTCAATCCAGAGTCAGATGCACTAACCACGAGGCCTCCGTGCCTCCCAATCTCAAAGCACAGAAAAACCAAAACGAAAACCAAAGTAACTGCCTGATAATGTTTGCCTGATAACCATTATTAATAGTGCCCATAGAGTGTCTAGAGCATTTTTATTGTCACCCAATAAAGAAATACACTTCTCCAAGTTTTAGGTATGTGCGTTATCCCAAACTTCAGATATTCATGGAAAGTAAAATGTTCTGCACAAATTTGCTGAGCCCAGTATGGAGCGGCCATATAATTTGATATCCCTTGGTGGTACGTCAATTGAGACTTGACAAGAAGCTGGGAGCAGTCAGTGTGATAAATTTATGGCTGGATACAGTTTGTTCAAACCCAAAACTTTTGTTGTTGTTGTTGTTTTTTTCAGGTGGAACGGTAACAGCATTTGCATTAACAACATGCACTGCTGCTTCAATAAGAGAAACGGATGACCCAACAAACTGGGCAATAGGTGGTGCTGCAAGTGCAGTGTTTATGGGACTGGCTAGTAAGTTGCCTCTGCAATCTCATGCTAGTGGTATAATGTTAAGACAGTGTAGTGTATACAGTTTCTGAACATCTAGTACATCTAAAACACTAATCAGGGCTTTCATTAAGTTTGAATTCACCTGTAGCCTTGATCTTCACAGCC